TAAAATAAAAATGATAAATATATATATATATAAATAAAGTTAAATATTTACAAATGATAGCGCCCACCATCATTTACGGGGATAATTAAATTAAATAATAAATAAACGTATATATAAATATTTATAAATGAATATTGAATAATGAGAGAATGATTATAAGTGATTTTAAAAATCGATACGTAGAAATAACACGTGCAACAATTTTATTAATTAATTTACAACAATATTATTTTCCAAAAATTACTTGATTTTTTATCGCTAAATTTTTTCTTAGTTTATTTCTATTATTTTTAATTGTATCAATAATATTAATTATTAATTATAAATAATTGAAATTTAAATTAGTTTTTAAGCATCAAGTTCGTAAGGAGAGTACTGTAGTTGTGATTATAGAGGACAATTTTAAATAATTAATAATTGCTATATATAAATACGGCGGCTTAAAATTATTTTTATAAATAGCGAGAGACTTAAGATTACGATGGTTCCTCTTTTTAAATATTTAAGTATCTAAACAATCTAGTGCTCGATTTTGTATAAAATTCACTTTGTATCACCTTACTTATAGGTTACGTCTTCGTTTTTTTTTTTTTGGTTACGAACAATCTTCATGCGTTAACGCTTCACGCTACTGTTAATCAAAATGGCAAACAGAGATTATGTTATCAATTTTTAATTTTGTTTTTTTATAACCAAATTTGTTATTTTTGCAAAAATTTGTTTTGAAATTAAACAAAATATTATTTTTAAACAATATAGCCAAACCTAACCTTAAAATTTTAGTTTAAAAAATTGGCGCTAAAAATTTAAATTTGAATATTTTTTTTTTTACCGCCAAAATTTGTTTTTGCAAAAATTAGCTTCATATTTTCTTTTTAGATATTGTTAAACAAAATCGCCGAATGTAACCTTAAAATTTTATTATAAAAATTGGCGCCAAAAAATTCAAATTTAAATATTTTAAATTATTTTATTTTTACCGCCAAATTTTTAAAATTAATTTCTTTAAAAATTAGCTTCAATTTTTTTTAATAAAAATAAAAATCAACTTACCCATGCAAAAATTTCCATATTTTTTGGTTATAAAAAAACCTTGTGTTCATTTTAAAAAAAATCCACAAATCAAAATGGCCGAACTTAACCATGAAATCTATTTTCTAACCAAAAAAACAAAAAATTGACTTCCTGGCAACGAAAACTTATCTGCGAAATCGATGCAAAAAAATATTTGTGAGATTGTAAAAGAATAATTGTATATATTATATATATATATATATATAAAAAAAACAAATGATAAAAATGAAATGGTAATTGTTAATTGTTCTGACATGACACCGAGGCTCCTAAATAATTCTTAAAAAAAAACTTGGGCGCGTTTGTAAATAATAGTAAATCACGCTCAAGATTTTTATCCACAATAATAAATAATAAATTAATAATTTTTACCGTGATTCCTCTTGCACAGTACTTATGTTATGTAATTAATTATTATCCGGAGCCTTGTGTTTACTTGAGAAGACTAGGGTCTAAGAAAAAAAAAAATTGCCGTGATCTCTGAAATTTATAATGGGCGGTAGCGAAAACTGCTAAGCAATTTTATGTGAGATATTTCATTTATTTTTCATTTGTCTAGACAATGCTGAGGTAATAATATCATCCAATAATTACAACACATATCTCGCGTAATTGTAAATAAATAATATTTAAAACAAAGCAGTCTCGCATGCCTAAATAATTATAATTATCATTATCTATATTATTATAATATGTTTTTTTTTTTTTTATTATTATATTCGTTATTATCAGTTATCAATTATTATTATTATTATTATTATTACATTTGATTATTATTATTATTATTATTATTATTATTATTGTCATCAATATTATCATTAGTTATTACTTATTTTTATTAATAAAATAAATTGATTCGTGATGAAGTAAATAACCAGGGACAATTATCTTTTTTTAAAAAAAATAATTGCCATGTAATTATATTTATTTAGATTTTAAAAAAAAATTAATAAATATATTTAAATTGACCTTTATAATCAGACCCGGAAGCGATTAATTTAATAAAAGTCAAGGATATATCTTAATTAATTTTGAATGTCAAATTTTATAAATAAAATTTTTTTTGACACTAAAAAAATTAATTTAAATTTCGGGGATTAAAATTAAATAAAAAAAGAGACAATAAAAAATTTTATTACTTCCTAATCTTACAAATCTAACGCTTAAATTTTTATTTACATAAACATAAAAATTGATAGACCTTTGATCTATTACGTGTTTTTTTTTTTTTTTTTTACATATTATTATATATTACTGTACATGTCTTATGTTCTATCAAACAATAGAAATATTAATCGTAAACGTGTCACGCATACTCGTCACAGTTGTGTAACAAGTTTCTTCGATAATAAATGCTTTCATCTTTTTTTTTACCATATCATTATTATTAAATAATTATTTTTTACGCTTAAATTTAAAACTTACATTTAATTATTATTTAAAAATTAGTTTTTACTATTAATTTATAAATATTGTATGCTTCATATGTTTAACCTTAAATTTAAACAATTGCAAAAAACTTAATTATTATTGCCAAGAATTCTTAAGTTAATAACTTCAGATAGAACATTGAACCTCAACTATAATTAATTTCTTCTTTTTAATTAATTATTTCCAAATTAAGCTTTAAAAACAATTAATTTTAGTTATAAAATTAATTATTGACCTGAAGTTAGCTAAATTACAATTAATTTCTTCTTTTTAATTAATTTTCTCCCAATAAAACCTCAAAAACATTTCATTTCACTTATAAAATTAATAATTGACTTAAAGTTAGCTAAGTTTTAAAACTTGCCGACAAAATGGCCACTTGGACACCTTATTAACAAGTAAAAGCGCTCGAAATTTGAATTTTCAGTACATTTTTACCCTCAATCTTAAAATTTCTTCTATAAATTGGTTCAAAATTTTCTTATAATCATAAAAAAACAATTAAAATAATAAAAAAATAAGTTCAATATTTTATCTGAAAAGTTATAAAACAACTTAACCTAAATCACGCTCGACAAAATGGCGTCTTACCGCTTTACTAACTATTAAAAGCGCGCGCAATTAAAATTTTTATTACATTCAATTTTCAAATTTTATCTATAAATTAGTTTTTAAATCATCTTTATGTCTTAAAAAACAATAAAAATCATAAAGTAGGTTCAATATTTAATCTAAAAAGTTAAAAAACAACCTAACTTAAATCACGCACGACAAAATGGCGTCTTGACGCCTTACTACCATAAAAATGCCCGCGCAATTTGAATTTTTATTAAAATTTATCTTCAATCTTCAAACTTTATCTCTAAATTAGTTTTAAATTACCTTTAAATCTCAAAAAACAATTAAAATAATAATCTAGGCTCCATATTTTAACAAAAAAAAAAAAAAAATTAAAATAACAAACTAACCTAACCTCAATCGCACCCAACAATTTTTTCTTGAGCATGCCGACAAAATGGCCTCTTAACACCTTACTCACAAGTAAAACCGCGCGTAATTTGAATTTTTATTAAAACTTGATCTCCAATCTTCAAATTTTTTCTACAAATTAATTCCAAATCTTAAAAAACACTTAAAATAATAATCTATTTAACCTCCCTATTTAATTTAAATCGCACCTGACAATTTTTTTTTAAGCGTGCAGTACCCAATAACCCTAAAAGTGACAAAATACCCCATCAAAATCATCATATCCACCCAAAAAATCGCATCAGCCATAGCAAGTTCCGTAAGAATACTCGAAGGGGACCTATAATGGCAATAATCCACACTAGAAGGACACGGCAGCTTCTCCCTATTATTCCCATAAATCGCCTGAACCAGCCCCTGTAACGCGTACCTCAAATAACTTAAATAAGTAAAGTAATACATAAACCTAGGCATGTGTCTCAAGAACACCAGGAACCCAGCGAACAGTAGCAGAACCGCCGTTAAGATGGCGCCAATGAAGGTTCCATTAACCGGATTAGTCGTAGTCCCAATCAGTAACCCAATGCTTTCTGCCACCACAGTGGTCATCATGGTCACAATCAGGAACATGAGGAACCGATTCAGATCCAGCGGCTGCCTGCTCAAAAAATAAGACACTGTAGTATAGACAACCGCGAAGATCATCTGAACCGGGATGTTCGCTGCTAAGAACGCTGCGTAGAAGGTTCTTAGCTGGTACCAATTGTTGAACTTTTCCTTTTTAAGGATTGGCAGTTCTGTGGGGAATCGCAGAACTGCTGGAAGCATGCTGGTGTAGCAGAGGTAGATGCAGGTGATGAGCAGAAAGCCGACGTTGTTGATAGTCTTGGATCCATCTGACCCAGCATCTACAAAGACTAGTCCCAGGATTACTGCAACGAGGAAATGGAGGACGATCTTCAAATGGGTGACTGTCCAGTCGCGGTAGAGCTGGATGATGCAGCGGTTTAGCAAAACCCAGAACCTTGCTAGCTCAGAAGGAGGATTTATGAAGACTGTTGCTTTCTTGCAGTCTACTGAGGAATTAGCGGGGAGCCCATTAACGTAAATTGGCTTGACAAACAAAGGAGTTCTCCAGCAGTGGGTGCCTTTTGCGGTCAAGGACAATTGTTCATTGAAGTTTCCGTACTCTTTGCTTACAACTTCGATCATATAATCCGCAGGATTGTGATATTGTGGACAATGTAACCCAGAGTTTGCAAAATAGGATATGGTGTTGGAAGGAGCGCCTTGGTACATGCAATGGCCGTCCGCTAGGAGGTAAACATGGTCGAACATCTCATAGATGGCAGCACTGGGTTGGTGAATTGTGCAAACAATAGTTCTGCCATCACTGGCTAGATTCTTTAGCATTGCAATGCATTGGAGGGTTGAGGAAGAGTCCAACCCAGTTGTGGGCTCATCCAGGAACAGAATTGGGGGATTGTCGATCAGTTCCAAGGCGATGCTGAGTCTCTTCCGTTGACCGCCGCTCAATCTGTCGCACCTGGTCTCCTTGGTTTTGGTTAGGTCCAGGGTTTCCAGGATGTCGTCGATGAGCATCTGCTTGGCTTTGTCGTTTAAACTGCTGCCGATTTTAAGGTTAGCGGCCATGGTCATGGATTCTATGGTGGTGAATAGGGAATGCAATTGGTCGTCTTGCTGGATGTAGCAGGCCGCTTTGCGGTATAAATTCCAGCCCTGTTTGTTGTCTTCGCTTGTATATTCGATGCTTCCGGAGACGTCGTAACCTTGGAAACCCGTGAGGACGTTTAGTAAGGTGGATTTTCCGGCGCCAGAGGGACCCATTATGGCGGTTAATTCGCCGGATTTGAAACAGCCGCTTACGCCTTTTAGGATTGGCTTTTTGGGGCTGCGGAAACCTGTGCGGACTTGGTAGGAGATGTTTGTGAATTCTATGTCTATTGTTTGCGCTTTTGGAAGGTTTATTAGCACTGAGCGTTGATACATCTTGGAGGTTTATGGTTGCTGCAAATTGTAGAATTATTTGGTTTTTTATAAAAATTGCAGGTTTTTTTTTTTTTTTTTTTGTTTTTAATTATTGATAGGTTAAATTAATTTTCAATTTTTTTAAATGGTTAATTGAATTTTGAACCTCATTTTTTGGATCCAAAATTTTAGATTTTTAATTGAAAAAACAATTTAGAAACTTTTGAACTTAAGGGATGTATATTAAATAAATTTATATAATTTTTTGATTCAAATGTAAAAAATTGATGAAAGATTGAAATTTAAAAAATTTATAGAATTTTTTATTTTTAAATGGTTAATTGATAAATTTAAATGGTTTAATTAAGAATTTTAAATAGTCTAATTAATAAAATTTTGAACAAAATTTTTTTGGTCCAAATTTTTACAAATAAATTAGATTGAAAATTTTTTAAAACAATTTATAGACTTTTGAACTTGCCGAATATTTTATATTAAATAAATCTATTTAAACTTATAGATTTTTTGATTTTTAAAAGGTCTAATTAATAAAATTTTGAACCAAAATTTGTCAGATCCAAAATTTTAAAAATAAATTACATTTTTAACTAAAAAAAAATCATTTATAGCCTTTTTTTAACATTGAATTAATTTATATAATTTTTTTGGAATAATTTAAATGTAAAAAATTGGAATTAATCAAATTTCTAATAAAAAAATTCATATAAAATCAAAAAATTAACAAAACTTATAGAATTTTTAATTTTTAAATGGTTAATAAATAAAATTTTGAACCAAATTTTTTGGATCTAAAATTTATGCAAATAAATTAGATTTTAAACTAAAAAAATAAACTTATAGACTTATTTTTTTACATTTAATTAATTTTTTAAAATAATTCAAATGTTAAAAATTGAAATTAATTAAATTTTTAATGAAAAATTCATAATTTGAAAAAACTAATAGAATTTTTTTTATTATAAATGGTCTAATTAATAAAATTTTACAAATAAATTAGACTTAAAATTAAAAAAAAAAATTTTTTTTAATGGTTCAAATATAAAAATTTGGAATTAATCAAATTTTTAACCAAAAATAAAAAATTTATAATAAAAAAAAAAAAAGGAAACTTACAAAATTTCCAGAAAATTCAGCAGTCGAAAAAAATCCCAAAAGTTTGCACATAAATAAATAAAAAAAAAAAAAAATCTTTAAACCACGAACTTAAAAAAGCACAAGCTTATTTAAAAGAAAATCACTTGAGTCCTTTGAGTGTAAAATTCACTATCCAAATGACATCTTACTGACTATATAGCAGCAACAATAACCGGTCTCGGTCACCTTCGCGTGAGCATCTGACGGCCAAGTACCGATCGCATTCTCATATCTACCACCACTTTTTTATACTTCTTCTTCTTCTTCTTGTTTTTGTCCTTATTCGTTTTATGTTTCTTCTTTTAGTCTCGTCCTGCGTCTTAAAAGCGAACCTAGAATCTTCTGGTATTAAAATTTTATTTCAAATGACAACTCGAGTCTTGATACTTAAATTATGTAAGAAGCGATTACGATCGCCGGTTTATGACTCTTTATTGCAGCACTCGTTCCTTTTATTGCAAACTGACATCTAAAAAAAAAAAATTTGATATCGCAATTTTGTTAAATTTCACACTAATTAACGCCGCAATTATTTGTACAAGTGAATTTATTCAATGTTTCTTCACTAAAAGAAGAACGGCGCATTTAAAATTCTGCGTGATAAATTAACGCGTGTCAGAAAACGGCAAAAAAATTCTTTAAAAAAAGTTTTTAAATAGATAATTACTCTTTAATTATAGAGTTATTACACCCAATACTACCGATTTATTGCAATGCTATATACTATTATGTTATCTATTACAATATCAATTAACCCCTGATAATTTATCACTGTTTTTTTGTTAAAATTGAAATTAATATGTCATAAACATGTCATTTATGAATTTATTATCATATATTTAAATATGTATATTGGCCTTTTTTGAATTGTTATATATATATATATATTTATATATTTTAATGAGGAAGTTGTAATTATTACGTCCAAATAGGAATTATTTTTTTTACTCTTATTCAGGGAATCGTTGTTTTTGTTATTTGCATTCGCGGAGGATTTTAGAAGGCCGAATTTTACACGCATTTATTAAATTACTTAACTGTAAAGTAAGTTATAATAAAAATTTTTTTATTTTTTTTAATAAAATTTTATAGTATTATATTTATTATACTATAAATAATGTATTATCATTTTTAGTATTATTATTAATATTTTATTATACTATTAAAAGAATATTTAGGCTGCATTTAAAAATATTTTAAGATACATAATTAAGAAATTACCTTGTATCTTGTGAAATATTGAGATTTTTAAAGATATAAGCTCGTCCTGATGATACACTCGTTAAGAGCTTTCATTTGAGTACCCACATCAATCTTTCAAATATTTTATATATTTATATATATGGGGTATTCCATGCCAAATCGACCACTTTTGACCCCGACCCTTTTCGATTTGGCCGAAAGTTTTCCATCCTTTTCTACCCTATAAAAAACGGTTCTCAGAATTTTTTTGAATTTTTTTACCTAACTCCAAAAAAGTTATGAATTTTTCAAAAAAATGGCTTTTTTATTTTCAAATAGCCATAACTTTTTCAAAACTAAACATTTAGGTACCTTTTTTTTTTCAAAATTTTTGTTTTTAGATGTACTTTCCGATAAAAAATATTAAAAAATTTTTGTAAGTCAATACATATGGAATTTTTCAGTTTTATGACAAAAATCAATGCTTTTTCGAAGTTCGAAATTTTTTTTTTTAATTTTTTTTTT